GTACAGGATCATTTTTTCTCGGTATTCTCTCTTTGTCTATATCAATGTGTTTCACAGCTGTGATTGTTATGATTCTTCGTTTCGATCGACATTATCGAGAGGAACCACATAAAAATATACGGCATCCAACTATCTCAAGCAATATCGATGAGTTATTTACCAGTGAACAACAACAGGCAGAGCAAAGTACGACACTTTGAGAATCAAAAACTGTTTATAAAACTCTCGTAGTAAAAATTAAAAGAACAATTTCTATCATCATAATATGGTATATTTATTAACTAGCATATAAAAGAAACTCTTCTGTAAACTTATTTTTTACTATTGTTAATTATTGGTAGAAATTTAAATTATCACTATTCATTTCTGTTTTATTTATTATTATAACGAGAGAATTGCAATAAATTTTCTTATGATTCCCATATCACTGGACTAATGTGCATATTAAACAAGATAAAGTGCACAAGTATATAAAGGTAGCGATAAAAATTAAAATAAATTAATTAATGAACCGGACATAAAATCAAAAAAAGCAAACAACAATAATTATCGCAAAACTTTGGGGCTAAAAGAAAACTTGATCATAAACAAGCAACTGAGTCAAAATTGAGAAAAATAAGATAAGTTTAAAGGATAATTAAAAACTGAATTTTTCGTTTTCGATGAAAGTAATCTTTTTAACGGTTGTATTGATTTGGCGATTGTTGTTGATAACGATTTAGTCTTCATTTTTAATACTGATGATTTTGGACGTTGACTCGGTGAACCAATTGAGGCTAAATTAATTGAATCATTTGGAAATGATATATATTTAAAATCCTTGATTTCTTTTCTTATTAAACCATCAATATAAATAGTTAAATGACATAGTTGAGCTGTTTGAAATGCTGAACCAAATAAAGATGGTCGTTGTGCTTTATGAACAATTGTTAGCGAATGCCAACAACCATCAATTAAATCATTACAATCATTTAACTCAATATAAACAAGTTCACGGTGATCGCTTATCGATACGAATAGTGATGAACTACGTATAAATGATTCTAAACCCATCGGATCCGAGTAGAACGAATAGATTTGACCAATGAAATGAAAAATGATGAGCTGTTGATAATGATGACCATCGACGAATAGTAGGCAAAATAATTCCCTAAAGTTCAAAAACAAATGCATTTGAATTTAAATCAGAAAAAGAAGACGATTCAAAGTTTTTTTTACACTATTTCCTTGTTGTAAATCGAAATAAGATGAAGTACATTGTACATCTGGATCATCATGTTTAGCTGATTTTATTAAAAATTCTAATAATTGTTTTTTAAATAATGAATTTCGATGAAATAATTGGCATGTATATCGAATTTCTTGTGGACTTATTGAAAATCGAGATAAATTTTCTAATAAGAAAAAAATATCAATTAAAACGTTTTCTTCGAGTTTATTTGAATTCTCATCAGTATTATTTAATATTTGAAGTAAAGCAAGAATAATCCCGTTTGAACAAGCCATCATTTTATTTTGTAATGAACGTAATACAATTTTAGTTATTGAAGATATAATATATTGTTGAAATGATGCATCAATTAAATACGGTATCCAATGTATAAGTGACACAGTAATATGTGGATTAATAATTGATCAATAAAATTATTTCTAAACAATTTGCTTTGAGAAATTCTATTTTTAATGCTGCACAATCTTGATAATCATGTAGAAGACATGTTAGTTAATATACGAAATAAATTTGATTGTTGTGGTTGAATAGATTGGAAAAATTCAGTTAAATCAATCAATCTATGATCAATTGTCATTTGGTGAACTGCTCGAATTGTACTTATTATTTGATCAAGATTTTTTTCGTCGATCAACATCGTTGTTCGAATTTTTCAATGCGCAATAAGCGCAATAAAAGATACAATGTCACAGATCTGAAATTTAAATTTTATCCATTTTATTTCTCTCAGTGAATTCAACAACAAAAGTTGATTAATTGAAAATAGCTAACATTGCTTTCTATAGCCTTGTTGAACTCTACTGCGTGTTTTCTATTTCCGTATCATTTCCATAATATAAAACAAAAAGTCATCTTTATTTTTAAATTAATATTTTGTTAATAATCCATTGGAGTTTTTTGAATGGCCCACGAACACGATCGCAATGTTGTGGTTCACGAGACTCTTCTCGGCAATATAAAAAATTCACTTCTGCAATTGTTTTGAAATCAACATATTCTAATGTATCACGTATTTGATTTACCGTTGAATTATCATACAAAGTTGGTATTGTTTAGCTTGCAATTATGTTTGATTTGCTCTTGTTCATCATTCTTTAAATTCTTTTTTTAAGACTTCATTTATTATCAAACTGATTTCAATTATAGTAAGTCTGTTTAGTCGTATATGTTATGCTTTTAGAGGTAATAATCATTACCATCGACCATATTAACTGATTGTTCGAAGGTGAAAAATTATATTTGCGTAGTTCAATTTTCTTTAAAACCAATAGACCAAAATATTAGTATATAATAGTGTATCGAGCTGTTAAATATTATTTTCCTTGCTCTCTGCTCTAGTTTATTTTACTTCTAAAAGAAAGAGAAAGAAAATTAAATTAGGTGGTGAATAATGCATCAATCTTATATGGATATGACTCGTGGTAATGGATTATTTCGTGTCTATGGGTTTGTTAGTTCATTTCATTGTTTTTCTTTCTTTTCGACACTCTTGATGCTACTTTAGATAAACAATACAGAAATTCTTCATTTTGAAATCGGTATTCCAAAATGTATCGAAGTTCCCTCTACTGAAAGGAGGGTATTACGAAAAACGAGTTAAATGCGTTCGTTCGTTCGTTCGTTCGCTCGTCCACAGGAAAGCAGTTGCATAAACTTAACTAACCTCAAACAATATCCTGCAGGGATAGGTTTGACCGAAGGTAACTGGGGTCGGGGAACTGTAATCTGGCGTGAGATTTTCAGAGTTTATGATCCTCAACTTTTTTAGTGAAAAAAGTATTTTTTCAAGAAAATAGTTTTCCTTGTAAAGTTTGATCAGATGCTGTCGGGCTCGAAAGAGTCGAATCGGATAAAATCAATATGCCATCAAAACAGAAAAAAATGTACTTAGAATTAGAGAATCACATTTTAACAAACATGTTTATTAAAATTCAGTTGCATTATAGCTTCTCTACTTGCATAATAAGACAAATTGGCAAAGGGTAAAATATTAATATCTTTGAATTAGTATGACGATTAGTAATATGAACTACATACGTTTTGCTTCGTTTGTTTACGATAGTCCTAGGGTATTAATGAACAAATCTGAAAGTATTTCATATTTTAAAAAGGTAGATGCATCGTTTTCATGATTGTATTTTAACTCCATTGATTTCCAACTATGAGTAGAGATATATTTTATTTTTCAATATAGATCACTTCAAGCAAGTTTCATTCCTTTGTTTTTCCTAAAATATACAATTATTTAAGTAACTAGAAACTTCGCCTAGCCAATTGTCTTAATCGAACTATTACACGCTGTTTAGTATCACGAAGTTTTGTATTTATAAGATCTGAGCAATATAAGCTGCGTTCGAATCAAATTCTGCTAAATCTTTCTATTCAAATTTTCGTTAAAGAAAAAAAAACTAAGGATACGAATTTGAGAATGAAAATGTTGATCATTTATAAACAGTAAGCAAGACGAAGGTTTTTATTTGATTGCATTTATCCATTTTCACGAAAACTTGACAACCGCGAAAAGCCTATAACATATTCCACACCCGTTGGCTTTGAAGTTAGATAGTATTACCACCAGTATTTTTTCTCATTTTAACAGCAACGATGTTTACATTCATACAATTCAGCAGCAATAAGTAAACATATTCGGGCTTTTATTTAAATGATTGACTATTACATATTTATTGATTTTTAGGCTAAGGAATTTTCAAGATTTAATGAAACTCATGAACTTAATTGTGAACTTTTTAATCATAGTTAAATCAACGCCAAGTCTGACTGCATGAAATCGACTAAGCGAACAATATGATCCATATTTTACTTTGCCCAAGTCAAATTCGACGGGAGAAATCGGACAAAATTCGTAGCATATAGAGATCTTAATTTTAGTAAAATCGTTTCAACGAGCATCAGGCGAAATTCGCTCTTGAGATCATCGCTTCGCATCGCATTAAATATAGTCCTTTTCTCCAGTTACATTCTCAATCGAAACGATGAAATCATTTTACTCTATGAAAATAATATTTGACTTATCGATCATAAGTT